TTTTTTTTTTTCTTTGAATTATTTTTTCTTTTAACCGCCAGTGGCAATTTCAGCTCCTTTAGCTATTTCTTCTGGTATTTATCTTTGGATTTCAAAATAATAATACTAATCTGCTGTTACTAATAGTCTGTAATACTTAGGTAATGCCTACTGTACATCAGGTACTATTTTAAATGCTTTACAGTCATTACCTCATTTAACCTCCACAAGCCCTATGAAGCAGGGTCTATGATTGTCTCCTTTTTACAGATGAGGACACTTAGGTACAGAAAGGGTAAACAGCTTGTCCAACCTCAAGATCTTTGGTACCAATGGTACCAAACAGGTTGTCCAACCTCAAGATCACTGGTACTGTTACAGAGTCAAGGTTTGATCCTAGGTAGTCTGGCTCCAGAATCTGGGCTCTTAATCATACTACCATGCTATACTGCCTCCTAGAACATGCTTATATTGTTATTGCTTCATTTATCAATTTTAGGCATTATCTATTAAGCTCTTGGTATGGGAGATGAGCATTTAGTCTTCTCACATCATCACCCTGGCTTCCCCTCCCCTCCCAGCTTCATAATATGTCATGATTTTTATTAAATAGGTATTCTATATTTACATTACTATAACTTTGAAAAATTCATTTATTATTGAGCCAAATTAGTATGCTATGATTTAATCTTTTTTCTTGTACAGCTTTTTGTTATTCTGGAGCTGATAATTGCATTATGTTTTCATTTGCTTAGTTTTCTAGGTATCATTCACTACCTCCTCCCAAGCCCTTTGAGAAACTACCCAACTCCCTACAGTTCTCTTTTTCACATGGTCAATTGTGTCACCTGCACTGTTTCCTTGGAGACCCAAAACAAGGGATTTTTTAAAGCTTCTCCTCTTTTAAAAGTCAGGTTTATGAAGGTATAATTTGCATACAGTAGAATTCACCCTTGTTAGGTACAGAATCCTGAGAGTTTTGGCAGAATATGTCGAGATATAGATGATTTCCATTATCCCACAAAGGTCTCTTATACCCTTTTGTACTCTATGCCTTCTTTCCACCTTAGTTCCAGGAAACTGCTGTTCTGAGGTCTGTTCCTGTATTTTGCCTTTTCCAAAGTGTTATATAAATGGAGCCTTATAGTATGTAATATAACCTTTTGTGTCTGGCTTCAAGCATCTCCTTTTCATAAAGAATCAAGACGGTAACAATCATTGCTAACGTTTACTAAAGACTTACTAGATAGCACATGCTGTGTTAAAGGCTTCCGTGGGTTATCTCATTATTACAGCATACTGTTTGGCTCAATAATTAATGTATATAGGAATACAACTCATTCATAAAAATGTGTGACTATAAAGAATATTATTGAAGATTATGTTGAAATGTGTTACACATGGAAGAATCTTTTAAGAAGAACAAAGTTCCTGTTTCCTTTCAACTTACTTCCTTTTGGCATGTGCGCTCCAGTACTCAGAAGCCGCCTGCTTCTCTCCCCAGTTAGGGTACAGACTCCCTGGCAGATTTAAATGCTTCTTTACTTCCTATCCAGTGCCTCACACAGGGCTTGCTTAGTTTGGTCCAAAATATTTGTTGAATACATTTGCAGATAACTTGGACATGTCGGAGGGAGAGAGTGTTACCGAAGGATGGTGACTGGAGGGGTTTGGCTGGGGTAGAGGTAGGGAGGGCCTGCAGAGAGGAAAGGCCCCAACTTGGTCCTCTTCCCTGCAGCCCAGTGTTTCCCGGGCTCTTTGAATTCTGCTCCCGTTACACAGGCGCATCTCTGCAAGGAGCAACCCAGCTGAACAACAAGGTGACAATGGCCCCGAGTCCTGTTCCCCTTTCCTGCGGGTCTTTGGACTCAAGGCCTCAGCCCTGACCCTGAGCTCCCAGCTTTGGGGATGGGCAAGGAGGGAGAATTATGAGTTGGGTGTTTGTTTTTCAGATATGTGATATTGCCATTAACTGGGCTGGTGGTCTGCACCATGCTAAGAAGTTTGAGGTGAGTGAGGAAGTGATGGGGGATACAACAGCTACCCTAGGGTAGGCGGTCAGGATGACACCAGGGGGCAGCTAGGTGGAGGAATATTCTTCTCATTGTAAGACCACTGTCTCACCATAGGCGTCTGGCTTCTGCTATGTCAATGACATTGTGATTGGCATCCTGGAGCTGCTCAAGTAAGTAGCCTGGGAGAAGATGGGGGGACTTATGAGACTCTTGGCTGAGGAGGCCTTTCAGACTGCGCTGGTCCTGACCCTGAGCTCCACCCCCACGCTAGCTTCTTCCAGGTTCTTGATGCTTTACTCGGGCGACCTCCTCCTGTGCTCTGCTGCAGACTCCCTGCTGCGTGCTCGCGCTCGCGCCTTCTCTGCACATCCCTCTCCTGTCCCTGCCTCCAGGCTGCAGCCCCAGGGTCGCCCTTAGGGAACTGGTGGTATTAGGTTTCAGGTGACTGGGCCAAAGCAGGCTCTTCAGAACTCCAGACCTTGTGTTTGGGAGGCATGAGTTGGGAGTTTTCTTCTTGGGGTTCACTTCTGCCTCGGGCCCCAGGTACCACCCTCGGGTGCTGTACATTGATATTGACATCCACCATGGTGACGGGGTTCAGGAAGCCTTCTACCTCACTGACCGGGTAATGACGGTGTCCTTCCACAAATACGGAAACTACTTCTTCCCCGGCACAGGTATGAAGTACGGATGACTTGACTGTCCCTTTTGCAGCCCTCAGCTCCTTATACCGTGGCTGCCTCCTCCTCAGCCTTCAGGTCTCGACTCACGTGGCCCCACCTCAGAGCAGCCTCTCCTGACCGCCCCAGTTAAAGTAGTCACCCCTTTCCCCATGACTCTGTCACATCGCCCTGCCTGTTTCTCTCAGAGTACTCAACAGCTATTTGTATTTACTGTGGTGTTTTTGTTCGTCTGTTTCCTCATGCCTACCTCCCCCTCATGCCTACCCCCTGAGCGTAGAAGCTTGGTGGGATTCCATTCACTCCATTAGTTCTCTTTACCTCACTGCCTAGTACATAGCCTGGCTCATAGGAGGCCCTCAGAAAGTATTTGCTGAATGAATGCAAGCTGCAAGAGACCTAGTGGCTTTAGGGAGTTGTGTGGTGGAGGTACAGAGGTGGAGTGAGAGGCCCTCCGAGTTCAGGTTGGGAGTGAAGAGGCTGGGCTGTGGGTGCCCCTCTGCACGGCTCCCACCCCCACCTCCCACTGGCCTGTAGGTGACATGTATGAAGTTGGAGCAGAGAGCGGCCGTTACTACTGCCTCAATGTACCCCTGAGGGATGGCATTGATGACCAGAGTAAGTATTAAAGTCTTTTTCCTGCACATCAGGCCCCTTCTTTCTCTCCTTAAATTAACCCCGTCTGCCTGGTATTGTATACTGGTGGGCCAGGTGTGCAGGATGAATGAACCCCCCAGAAGTTGTGTGCAGCATATCATGTGTATGTGCATTTGTCTCGGAAAAGAGTCATTAGCTTTCATCAGTTGTTCAGAGGGGCCTGGACCCCCTCCAGAAGTTCAGAACCACTAGTTCTTTGGGTTGCTGCTTTCCTGGGCTACATGCTCTCTCAACCCCTTCTCCTTTGTTCCCTGTCTCCCCATCCCCTTGGGGTGCCAGGTGCCCATCTTTGGCCCTCTCCCAGGTTACAAGCACCTTTTCCAGCCGGTTATCAACCAGGTGGTGGACTTCTATCAACCCACATGCATTGTGCTCCAGGTAATACAATCAGTGCCTCCTCGGAAAGGCTCTGCCTAGGCTTAGGGGGAGAAGAGCACGGAAAAGGAGAGCTCCTAGGTTGGTGGGGGAAGGGCGGGGAAGGGCATCTGGGACTTTCTGATCAGTTGTCTCCCTGCAGCTGTTGGGTACTTTGCTTTTTGCAGTGTGGAGCTGACTCTCTGGGCTGTGATCGATTGGGTTGCTTCAACCTCAGCATTCGAGGGCATGGGTAAGACTTGCCCTCCTTCCACTCCCCCAGGTCTTTACATAGCCTTGGACCCCAGTACTTGGAGTGGGAATAGTTAGAGAATGAGCCTCGCCTCCTTTGGGGGCTCAAAAATAGCTAAAAATTGTACTTGAACCAGAACTGTCACCTTGAACAGGGTTCCCCAGCTGGTTATACACATTCACAGTAGGTTTTTGTTCACCTAGTATGTTGCAGGCATGGTAGCAGGAGATAGGAATGCAATGGGGGAAACTCCCATGGAGTTAATAGTTTTTATAGGAAACAGACAAAAAATGAGTAAGCAAAAAAAATCAGTAGATTGTTATAAATCCTCTAAGACCTGTGAAGGAAGAAGATAGAAAGATAAGACGTGGGCTAACAGTGGGGAACCTACTTTAGATAGCATGATTTGGAAAGGATTTTCTGAGGAGTTGAAATTTGAGCTAAGACCTGGAGGCTTAAAAGGAGCAGGCCGTAGGAGGAGCAAGGAGGGCCCACGCAGAGGCTCAGACGGGGAAGAGCTGGTAAAGCAGAGCCGCAGAATGCACGGAGCAAGCTGGAGGTGGTTTGAGGTGAGGCCTCGGAGGTCGGCGGCGGTGAGGTTGTGCAGAGCCTTCAGACCCCGGCAAGGAGACTGGATTTTATTTTAGATGTGATGGGAAATCGTTGAGAGATTAAGTAGGGCAGTGCCATGATCCAACTTGTGTTTTAAAGTGACTGCCCTGGCTGCTGAATGGAGAAAGGTTTGGGGCGGAGGAGGTGGCAACAGAGAGTAGATGATTTGGGTCATACTTGGAAGGCTGGAACTGACAGCGCTTGCTGGTACACTGATAATAGCTGATTAACAGGTGAGGCCCCATGGTGGGTGTTGAGCAGGACAGAGGTAGGAGTGCACTTTATTTTTAGTTTTTGAGACACAAAATGTACGTAATAAAGGGCACATATCATAAGGGTATGACTCAATGAATTTCACTACTTAGATTGAGATGGAACATTCTAGTTCCCTTGTGCCCCTTTCCAGGCAGTACCTAGAGTGTTTACTTAGCTTTTGATAACTTCCTCCACCCATTCTTTTTAAGGGAATGTGTCGAATATGTCAAGAGCTTCAATATCCCTCTACTGGTGCTAGGCGGTGGTGGCTATACTGTCCGAAATGTTGCCCGCTGCTGGTGAGTATGCTCCTTGATTTCCCTCCTTCGCCTCGCCCAACGTATGTTACTGGCTTCCTGAGAGATGGCTGGGGATGCCCTTCAGCTCACTTGCTCAGCCTGCTCTCTTCTGCTGGTTGGTTTCAGGACATATGAGACATCACTGCTGGTAGAAGAGGCCATTAGTGAGGAGCTTCCCTATAGTGGTAAGGACCACCCCATGAATATACCTTCAACAGAAAGACCATTCTCAGAAGGCCCAGAATGGCCTGTTTGAAGGAAGATAGGAAGTTTGACACTCTCGGAGCTCTGTAGACTAAAGCCCTGGACTCAGAGCAAGGAAGAGATGGGGCAGCTATAATGTAGGAGTTTTGGATGGGAAAGAAAGAGATTGGGAAGTCTTGGGACCTTCCTGTGTCTGTCCTGGCCATACCTTCTCCTAATCTCCCTCTCCCTCCTAAGAATACTTCGAGTACTTTGCCCCGGACTTCACTCTCCATCCGGATGTCAGCACCCGCATCGAGAATCAGAACTCCCGCCAGGTTAGCAGCTTAGAGAAGCTAAGCACAAGGGTGCGGGAGCCCAAGAGAGGTTCAAGATGTGGGAAACTGGAGAAACCAGGGAAGAGAAGAAAGTTCTCAGCCATCACTATCACTGTTACCAGCTGGGAGGGTGAAAGAAGAGGCAGTGGGGGTTGGAAAGAAGGACACTTGTCAGCTGGGGGACTCCAAGTAAGATTCAAAATGGGATTAAAACTTGGATGGTAGATGTGATGGGCAGCCAGAAGGGTGGGTGCCCTAGGAATCATTTGGGGGCTGCTCACACTCTAGTCCTCATTCCCAACTAGTATCTGGACCAGATTCGCCAGACAATCTTTGAAAACCTGAAGATGCTGAACCACGCACCCAGCGTCCAGATCCATGACGTGCCTGCAGACCTTCTGACCTATGACAGGACTGATGAGGCCGATGCCGAGGAGAGGGGTCCTGAGGAGAACTACAGCAGGTCTGGGGCAGGGCCTCGAGAGCAGGGGATTCCAGCAGGCCTGTTTGGGGAGGTGAAGAGGGAAAAAATAAATTGGCAAGCATTAGCTTAACTGTCATGGCTTACCTCCTTTGATGTGCCTACTCTTTGGTTTGCTGCAATTCCATGCTCTTTTTCTTTTTGCCCTGTTTTTTTTTTTTTTTTTTAGGAGAGCAAGGTACAGGCTTTTATTTAGAAATAAAGTGAGAGAATAGAGCTCCTGGCTCACGCCAGGAGGGGACAAAAGAATCCTTTTTTTGCCCTGTTTTTAATGACATAAATTATATATGTACTGTAAACATTTTAAACAGCACTACAATGTGTTAAATTTGCTTGCTATTAATAGTTTGATGTGTATCTTTTCAGATAGACTTTTTTCTCTGGTTAAAAATACACTCTTTAACGTGTTCATATAAACACAAATGCACATATACATTCATTCTCAAGACTTTGGGTGGTTTGTTGTTGTTTTTTTATATGCAAGTTGAATCATTCTATCCACATTGCTCTACGACTTAAAACTGGTTGTTTTCCTTTTTTTATTTTTTTTAACCAAATGGTCTTATCTTTCCATGTCAATATATATAGATCTGCTTCATTATTTTGTCAGCTATATAATATTCCATTGTGTGGATGTAACATAACCAAGTACCACTGATGGGCATTTACATTATATCCCTCCTTTTTTCCTTTTTTTTGCTATTACAAAGAATGTGGTAATGAACTCCCTTAAATACATCTCTGCATGCTTGAGTGGATTAGATGCCTATAATTGTTGCTCCTAGTTCAAAGGCTTTGTGCATTAAAATTTTTTTATATTTGCTGCCAAATTGCCTTCCAAAAGCCTGTAATAGTTTATATTCTTGCCAGCATTTTACTCCTTCCAGATTCTGAACTGGATAGGTCACTGTCCATGTGCTGCTCTCTAAGGCCCTTTGATTTATTTCCTCTGTTAATTTTTCCAGGTGTAATAATTGTACTGTGTGTTTTTCTTAAGTCTTTATCTTTCTGAGGTATTAAAATTTACAGATATAGTGAATTAGGGGGAAAAAAAGACCAGGATAGAATTTTTCAAAATCCCAAAACAGGCTTTTCCGAAAAATGAAGGGAAAAGACAACAGAACCCAGATGTGCAGAAACAGGTGAACTTAATGGAGAGCAGTTCTCCTCGTGTGACTGAGGGGTAACCGCAGCCGGACCCCCACAGAACTCCTGCCCCTGCTCCCAGGCAGTGAGGTTCGAGCAGGCCCTGCCGCTCACGCCAACAGGCGTCTCAGTTCCTTCAGAATCTGCTTCTCAGTCTTAGAGTTTGGGCTTCCAGCTTTTTCTGGACCTGGGCTTCACTGCTTGAACTCTTGGGGCCACTCCAGCCCTCTTCCTCCATGAATACCCCCTTATTTGAACTCCTGGTGAAGCAAGTACCTGAACATCTGGCCTCAAGGATACCCTTTTGACCCGTCTTCTCCTCCTCAACTTGGCCATGTCAGGTCTGGCTTTTCCCTCTGTAGTTCTGGCTTGGTGTCCGGGCCCAGTCTCTGCATCGTACCTCCCTTCTCAACAGCTAGCAGAAGCCCCAGGCCTCTTCTTGTCCTAATCCCTGCCTCACTCTCAGAGCATCAGAGCACATAGACTTCCTGTTCTTTGATGCCTGTAGCTCCAGCTTACGTATCATTTGTAGAGTAGTAATAATAAGAATGACCGTTTTTTGTGGGTTTGCGAAGCACCAGGCTTAATACTAAGTGCTTTATATTAAAACATACAGAGCATCATGTCATCATTCTCTTGTCATCAGACAACCCAAGAGGTGGCTGTTTTCCTTAAATTACAAGAGGAGGGATCTAAGGTTTAGAAAGTTAAATGACTTTCTGAGGGTCCCACAACTAGTTCAGTATCAGGTCTAAGATTCAAGTCCGTCTCTGACTCCACCCCTTTAACCCTTGAGCACTTAGAGGTAATTGAGACATTGCTTACCAGGCAGATAGTACTTTAGTTCCCAGCTTCTCTTTGATGACTTTCCTCCTCCTTTATCACTTATCAGCTGTGGGAAAGCTAATTAAGTTATCAGTTATTTATATTCTCCCAGATAATAGTTTTCCAAAAAGAAAGGAACCAGTATTGAGTACTCTTGGGGTCTTGTGTTGCTTTTGACTTCTGTCACTCACTACAGGTTTATAATGTCATGTCTCTCCTCTGCTTAAAACTCTCCTTTCCATTGCATGTAGCAGAAAACCCAGATTTCTGACCATGGATTCAAAAGGCCCTGCATGCTGCCCTTTCCTAAAGCCCTGGTCTCATCTCCAACTACTCTCCCCCATGTGTACTAATCGAAGCCCTCCTAACCTTCTTGCTCTTGACTAAACTGTATCAGTCCCTTTCCACATTGTAACCTCTGTACTTGATTTTCTTATAGCTTGAGATGGTCTTCCTGGGATTTCTTCCTGGCCAGCTCCTTCTCAGACTTCTTCCCTTAGAACAGCCTCTCTAATATCTTGAAATTTTATCCTGTTCCTCCCATCACTCAGTCACATCCCTTTATTTCATTTTATTCATAGCACTTTCCACCATCTGAATTTATATTTATTTATTTGTTTTGTTATTGCCAGTCTCATTTATTAGGTAAGTTTTTTGAGGATAGGCAGAAATTTTGTCTTATTCTCTATGGTATTGCTAAGGCTTATTACAGTGTCTGGCACAGAGTAGTCTTTCAATAAATGTTTATTGACTATATGAATAGATGAGTGCAGTCTCTGCCAGCAGTAGGAGAGGAGTGGTTCCCTGACAAAGGAGCCTGGGAAGTGGCTCTGAGGAGGCTGCTTATGTGGGAGAAGACTGGAGCTTGGAGAGTGTGACCCTGACCTTTCCCCCTTGCCTTGCAGGCCAGAGGCCCCCAATGAGTTCTATGATGGAGACCATGACAACGACAAGGAAAGCGACGTGGAGATTTAAGAGCAACCGGGCTTGTTGTGTCCCAAGGAATTCCTTTTTACCTCTTTGTTGGGTGGGAAGGAAAAGGTGTGACTCCCCCAGCCATGGACTAGTCGCTTTTAGGGCTTTTGCCAGTGCTGGGGAAGGGTTTGGAGACTTCTGGTTTTCAAACCAACTATCCCCTTTCCTCTCCTCTCCAAGGCCTAACAATGGTACCTATTAGGGACTGGACAGAGACAAGGATGGTTGTCTCTAGGATGTTGGGCAGTGGGCCCTAGAGGAGGATCCCAGTGCCTCTGGCCCCCTTGTTCTTCCCTGCTTCCCTCCAACTCAGAGACTTTTAGGGATGAAGGGGTAGATAGGATCGAGGTTGCCTCTGACTTCCTCCTCCCCTGGGTTTTCCTACTATAGGCCTTGTCCAGTGCGGGTGAAGAGTGAGGTGTTTTAGGGGGCTCTGGTTCCATAACACTTTATCCCCAGGTGATGGGAAGTGTTGGTTTTGAGTCTGGGGAAGATTTGAAAATGTCCTGTTCTAACTTTTGTCTTTATGTCCATTTTACCACTTTTTATTCAATAAACCAGTTGGTATTTTTTGTACTTTTTGTCTTTCTAGGAATATTCTTAATTCCTGCTAGCTGCCTGTGTGTGAAGGGAGAGGAAATGGGGGTGCTCATATATATAATAAAAATCATAGTGCCATACATTCAGCACACTTGTCTTATATTAGGCCCTGTGTATGTATTCCAAGCAGATTATTTCACTCATATATAAGGAGTCAATAGAGCATCTGGTTAAGAGCTAGACAAACCTATGACTTCAGGTTTTTGAACCTGGGTGTTTAGAATGGTGATGCTAGTTGGTGAAGATAAAACTTGTCAAGTGTTTAGCACAGTGCCTGATAAATAGTTGCTCATTATCTTCACTGTCTAGGTGAAGAATGATCCTATAGTAGCCATAAACATGGACCCTTCCCTGGAGGAATTTGCAATGTAGTAAGGAGTGAGATAAATGCTATAGCAGATGTAGACAGTGGTATAAGAAAGAACTAATAGATGGGTGACCTCCTTCCATGCTTTGATCCTGTTTCTCAGCACTCTAGCTTGGAAAATAAGTAGCTTTTGAACTATTTTGGACAAACTGAGTCTGAAGTGTGGGCTGGACATCTCTATGCTGCTTTCCATCAGGCATTTAGAAAGTAGAACATGAGACAAAGGCCAGATTTTGGAGCCAACCAGCTTGGCAGAGACCGTCTAATACCCAGGCAGGCAATAGACTGAGCACTGGGGTCCCTCCAGGAACATGCATTTGAGATCTTTTGCCTGCAGTGGGCAAGATAATTCAGTCCATACTTTGCCTACGGAGTGCCTACACTGGGAACAGATGTAGCTGAGGGAATGGATGAAATTATGAAGGGAGACATGAACGCTTGTAGAGCAAATAACTCGGAAGACACTGGTTCTTTTCATTCAGGTTTGGTTTATGTCAGTAGGTAATCCTGGTTAAACAGGGCATGGCCAACTAACCTGCGTTTAAATTTTTTAAATCACTCATTTATGTTTTCTTGGGCAAGTCACTTCAATTCTCAAGGTCCAAGTTTTCTATCTGTAAGGTGCTGAGACTAGTGGTGGAATCTATCACGTGCCATTGTGAGGATTTAGAGAAAAAAGTCAAATCTTGTGCATAATGCCCGGCATAGAGCAAGTGCATTGTAAACGGTAGCTGTTATTACTGTTCAGGCACACTTTGGCAATAACTAATTTTTCATATCAGAAACACCACTGGAAAGTAGCAGACCTGGGGTTCAAAACTAGGCAATCTTAACTCCAGAGCTAGTTGAGTTCCGGTCTTGTACTTGCCCTGGACCAAGCTCTGCTCTTGGCACACATTTATCACTTATTTTTTCATGTGCTCTATGGGTATTGCACACATAAAAACTATATTATCCTGGAAAGACTGGCACTGACAAGATAACTGTTACGCGATTTTGGAGTGTGAGAGGGTCCAGGCTTTGGCAGCCACGTGGGCGCTGTGCGGGAGCGGGGAGGCCTCTGCCGCTCCAGCCGCCAGGGGGCGCTGTTCCTCGTTGCGCCACCCCCCGACGTGGGTTCGAATGGTTAGGCCCGCGGGGCAGGTAGCTTGCTTCCGCGGATTCCCTCCACCCCCCTCCCTTCCCCCATTGGTAGGGGCTGCAGGTCCGGGCGGAAGTGGGGCAGGAGGGCGGCAGCGAGACGTCGCGGTTGTATATTCATGAGGCGCGCGCAGCCCGGCATGCTAATGAGGCGGGGCGCGGCAGCGGGCTGAAGAGCTGTTGGGCGGCGGCGGTAGCGGCCGGTTCGGAGCTCCCGGCCGGTTACGGTGTAGGCGCGAGGCACCGGCCAGCGTGAACCTGGACATGGAGCCGCTCGGCGGGGGCCTGGGGCCCGGCCGCGGGACCCGGGACAAGAAGAAGGGCCGGAGCCCGGACGAGCTGCCTGCGGCGAGCGGCGACGGCGGCAAATCCAAGAAATTTGTGAGTGTCCCTCCCAACACGTTTCCCCGGTCTGACCCCGTAACCGTCCTCTGGACCCCGGAGACCCCGCCGCCGGCCCCCGGGGTGCACGCCCGTCTCTAGGGAGCCGCCCCCGCGCCTCCCTTTCTCGTTTTGCTGGCTTCTGGGCTGCACAGCCCGACATCCTAGCGCGGCCGGACCTCGGGGAACTCCGGAGTCCCACCCGGTTCTTGGCCGCGGCAGCCTGGGGGCTGCCTTCGCACCCCGGGCCGCCCGCTGCGCCCTCCGCCCTCCGCCCGGGCGGGTCTCAGCCCCATCTCTTCCCTCTCAGCCCCACTTCCTTTCTTCTTGCTCTGTTCCCCGAACACGCCTTCTCTATCTCGGTCCTCTGTGCTGTTCTGGGTCCGTCTTCTCTCCTTACTCCACCCTCCTTTTTCGGTAGCCTCTTCCTTGCTTCTCCGAAAGGTCACTTCCCTCCCCAATATTGATCCCTCTCACCTGCTAACTTTCCTCCCGCCCAGTCCCCACCTCGGGCCCTCAGCCCGGTGTCACCTGGTAATCCTTCCCCTCAGGAATGTTACCTGGCTTGGGCCCTCCCTGCCCTCCTCCCTTGGACGTTTGTCCTTGTGATTACAGGAATGTTCCTGCCCAGGTCCTGTAGTCGTTGGACATGACGTTAATTTGCTTCCCAGTGTTTCTCTATCCAGAGAACCTTTCTCTTTGCCCTGTTGCTTATCACTTTTCAGGGGGTTAAAACTTCTCTCCTGATCAGCCTTCTTGACCTAGGATGGTGATTAACCTCCCTAGGGGAGGAAGTTATACTGCAAGTCCCAGAAGTTTGTGAGTAATTGACTTTGTGCTTTTTATACGTTTCGCATGATCACCATCTCATCTCTTCTGCCACTTGGTGTGCTCCAAGGCTGATACCCGTTTTCTGACTTGTAGAAGGGTATACCTTTCCTCAGGTGCCAATTACTTCCAATCCGAGTCTGAGGGAATATCCATATTCATGTAACACTATCATTTTATTACTTCTGCCCACACTAAATCTTTTTTACTCCTCTCCAGAGAGCTATTTGCTCCCTTTATATTGTAAAAGCTTTGCAAGATATGGGGCGCTGTCCAAGACAGGGATAAACTTGGATCTTAATAATCATTTGCTAATTGTAACTGTATTTATTTAGTCTGCTCTTCTAGGTAATTATGCCCCCACCCCAGTATCTTTCTGCTAGTCAAATGGCTTTTGTATCTTTCCTTTTTCTTTCTCTTTTCTCTTATCCCCACCCTTCACATTCTGACCCAACTTTCACAAGTTTGGGAAGAAAACTGATAAAGTGATGGAAACAGGAAGAAAATGTTGCTTTGGGACCTAGAGGATTGAGATGTGGACAGAACTAAACAGAATTAAAAAGTGACTCATCTCTTCCTACCTATTTCTAGCAAGGCAGGTGCCTGTGGACTATCCTTTCCAGTGGCTTATGGGCTGGCTGTCAGTAACTGTCTGTTTTTATTTGGCGAACATCTTCTTTTTCTAGTAGTCACAACTGGCATTGGTAACTAAAGGAGCATTTTCCTGTGTTTCTTTAGGATAAGAATCGATCCTCTAGTTAGAGCTTGCCTTCTGCAGCTTATGTTCTAGGGCCCATATTCTTTCTATTTCTGTATCTTTCTGTTTTGCTTTTGTTTCCATGGGTACTGTTTGACCTTCTTCATCCGAATTCCAGCTAGTCCTGCTTATTTATAGTGACCTCTGTGACTTGTAAATATTTTTCAAGTCCTTCATAGAATTTTATATGTGCTTTTGTTTTATCTAGCACTTACTTTTCACAAATTTGTGAAATCTACTAAGTGCATGGTGCTGAAAGGTGAAATGCCTGAGGAAACTCAGCTTCTCACCTGTTTTTGGAATGGCCATGGACTTTTGTATATGCTGAGTGGATTTGGCTAAGAGTTTTTGGTGTTTGCTTTAGAGAGGGTGGAGCGGAACCAAGTTCTCTTTTACTTCCTGAGATGTTGGTTTTAACTCTTAACCTGCTGGATTTTTAAAAATATGTAGCACAGGTAGTGAGAAGAATTGCACTTGTAGCTAGGGGACTGGAAAGTTTCCAAGAAAGTGCTACTTAACCCCTTTGTTGCTGATGTTATGTACCTCAAAGCAGTAGAATATTCTTTCTCAATGCTCTTTTTATGAGAACCCTGTAGAAATGAGAGACTAGGAGAAGCATTGCAATCCGCTTCTCTTTGTGTCTGTGTATGTGTATGTGGGTGGGTGGAGTGGGCAAGACTGCTAGTGTGCTTTTGTTACCCATGGCTTAGTTTTCTTGAACTACAGGCTAAAAGTGAATTCAAAGCTGTTTCACCTACTCCACCTTTTCTTGAGAGTGTCCTCTGGAACTCCATTAAGAATGTATTTTATAAAACTGCACTGGTTTGGACTTAGTGTGCCCAAAGGTTATTTGTTTGCTTCTGGGAGGTTTCTAATCCCTTTAGCTGTGACATATCTTTCCAGGTTAGTGTGGGTTCCAAGTACAGAACAACTGGTGAGAATACAGAGCTCACAAATTACCAAAGATCTGTTCTTACCCTCTGAGGCATCATGTGGAAAGGACTTGGAGTGTAAGTTTGAGAAGTGGTTGGGAATCATCTATGTGGTTGTTGTAGGTGCTGATGTGTGTAGCCGAAGCTGGGCTTCAGCCTGATATTCCCCCTTGATTCTTCATGCGCTTGTCTTCTCCTGGGCCTTGAACATACCCCTTTTCCAGCATTGTTCCAATTCCTTTTGGAAGTCCTTCAAGATGAAGGAAAATAAAAATTCTAAGTGAACATACTGTTTTCTAACTTTTCAACAATAATGAATGTGGGTGTCAAACAGACTGATTTCCGAAATAGCGTAAGGAGAGCAAGTATAGCCAGGATGTTAGGAGGCTGCAGAGTATTCCTGCATTTTAGATTCCACATCTTCTCATACTATCAAGAAATTATACAGTCTAAGAAGGAATATTGATTCCTGATTCAGCTAGGAGCATAACTTGGTAAAACACGAATTTTAGTGTGGGATTAGAGAGAATAGAAGATACATAACTTCAAAAATCTTGTTTAATTTTGAATAGCTATTCTGAATTATTACCATGTTGCAGTTTCATCCTACTTCAGAAGCAAAGTATAAATGTATAGTTATAGACCCCTCTATCCAAAATGAGAGCTGTCAAAGGTGAAGGTTGCCAGGCAGAATTTTAAACAGATATTAGGAAAGGTGGGGAATATGAAAGAAGTGAAGTTGTTCATGCAGATATCTGCTTCTCTCTTAAAGAAGACATTAACTTTGACCCAGAAGTTTTCAGAAAACCAAGGAGGACTTTATGCAAGTCATGTTTTCTTTCTTTCTTTTTTTCTTAAAGATGATAAACACAGTGATCACTTAGTTTGGGAAGAGGGAGGGAGGCTGTTTGAGATGACAGAATAATACCTTAAACATTTCTGCCCTTCCTTCCTTGTCTTTGAAGAGACAGCCAGAGTATCCACTTGACGGCACATTAACTTGTCTCAAAGGAGATCCTCCCACACAGGAGGTGAAACTGAGGGAATGCCTCAATTGAAATAGCTGCCTTGGGAGAGTTGGTAATATAGGGATACTTTTATAAAAATAACTGAAAATTGTATGACCTTAAATTATGTTTAATTATAAAAGCTAAGTAAATAATAAGTGAGAAGTTATTTAACTTTGTTAATGGGCTTATGGGTCAAGAATAGACTGGTTTTATTTCCTGTATGAGAGAATAACCTTTTGCTATCCCCTGGAGCTCTCAAGTGTATTTTATAAATGGATTGCCAAGTTATTCTTGGAGAGTGTTATATTTCCAGTGAAATGTAATGGAGGCTTAGAAGATAAGGTTATATGCCACATTCGATTTAGAAAACAGGTTATAAGCATGTTTCTTAACAAGAAATACTAGGTATTACACAGAAACAAAGGGTTTCTATATGCAGCTGGTGTTTTCACCCATTTTATGTCTCAGCTGAACTCATGAGTACAAAAAGCATCCCCATTTTGAAACAAACATATTCCCCCCACCCCCACTTTTTTTTTTTTTAATGTTAAGTCTCCTTTCTCAGTCACTTTTGTTTGAAAGCAGTAGGGAAAAATTCACCTGCTAACCAGCAAAGCAGCATTGGGTATTCACACCCTACCTCAGTTTTTATTCCCTCCGCGCTCCCATAGGGTCTGGTCCCAGTCCCGTGGAGAGCTGGGCCTTTGGGGAATCAGGAGCCATAAAAGCAATTGATATTAAAGTTTCTTAAAACCTCAAAGCTAAAAGTGAAAAGTATAGTCTGATCACTATGAACATATTTTACCTTATTTTTACCTGTCCTTTTTTTTTTTCTTTTCTTTTTTTTTTTTTTTTACAAATATAGTTGTTAGAATCAAGGGACCCTTTTTAAGAAAGTAAAAGAATTATTGAAGGAAAAGAGAAATACTGAGGCAATGTTTTAATGAATTTTACCACCGATTACAGGATAACTGTGAGTGAATCATTGTTCTTTCAAGTTTGAGATTCTTACCTCCATTCATTATTAAGGCTTGCTATGAAGGGTAGTCTTAACATTATAGAGTTAGAAGGGATTTTAAATGTCATCAAGCTAAAAAAACAACCCATTCAGTGCCCTAATCCCTTCTGATATAATTGTAGGCTGGAAACATCAGGGGAATAAGAGGTGGGAATTAGATAAATAAATAGAGGGCAAGAATCAGAAATTTTGGATTCTACATTTCTGTTAGTAAATTTCAGGTTCTTGGAATAACTATAGTATTAGAAAGAAATTATATAAGAGCAAAGAATACACTGAGAGCTACAAGACAGAAAGAAAAGATTGAAGAAACAGGCTCTCTGTTGCTGGCTCTGTGACAAATAGGGAGTGTCAATTTGTCAGACTATTTGCTTAAATTTTTTTCCTCCAAGAACAGGGACAGAACAGATAAAGAGATGCAAAGGAGAATAAGGATAACAGAACTGAATTAAGAG